TACCTATGAGTACATCCCTTAGGATGGACATTGACAATGAAGGAAAGGAAGTTGATCAGAAAAATTTTCGTGGTATTATTGGCTCTCTTCTATACCTAACAGCAAGCAGACCTGACATCTCGTTTGCTGTTGGTGTATGCGCTCGCTTTCAGGCTAAACCGAAAGAAAGTCACCTAATTGCAACTAAAAAGATATTACGATATCTTAAGGGCACACAAAGTGTCGGTCTCTGGTATCCGAAAGAAGGATCATTTGATCTAATAGGATACTCAGATGCAGACTTCGCAGGTTGTCGAATTGATCGAAAAAGTACCTCAGGAACATGTCAGTTCCTAGGAGGAAGAATTGTGTCTTGGTTTAGCAAGAAACAACATTCCATTGCTACTAGTACGGCTGAGGCCGAATACATAGCAGCTGGAAGTTGTTGTGCTCAAATCTTATGGATGAGACATCAATTAAGAGACTATGGGATAAATGCCCAAGAAGTGAGCATTAAGTGCGATAATACAAGTGCTATAGCAATCACACACAATCCGGTTCTACACTCTCGGACCAAGCACATTGATATCAAATATCATTTTATTCGTGATCATGTTGAAAAGAAAGATATTTCTCTCGAATATGTCAATACCGATGATCAACTGGCAGATATAGTCACTAAACCTCTGAGTGAGACAAGATTCTCTCTTTTAAGGCATGAGATCGGAATGATTGAAATGACCTAAAATTCAGAGAATCAAATCTGTAAAGATTCGTATTCTTGATTCTCGCAAGATTTGATCCATCCTTACACGCAAGTATCCTTATAAATAAGGTATACTAATTGTTTGTGCATACATCACTAACAAAAGTTCTAGTGTTTGTTCTTGCAGGTATGAGTACAGGTAGTGAAAGAACCAACACTGAGAATCAGGGTGGAAAAAGTGGAAAAAGTGAGATCCTTAATGACAAACTCATCACCCAGGAGGAAGTGAACAAGTTCATGGAACACTCTCAACATATTCAGAGTCTTCTTCGGGCTCCAACAGACAAAGAGTCAAAAGAGCTGTTTCCTTCTGCAGGCAATTCTATTGGATATGCCAAAGAAAACAGTGTGCTGGACAAAAGCGACAGTTTCGACTATTCACCGTCCAGCACCCCTCCTAAGATGCTCTCACCACTCAAATCCACCGCCAGCAGCAAGAAAAGGAAGATCTAAATAACTCTGTCCTTTTCTTAATATGTGATGTTATTCCACCATGCTTTATAATGAATCACCTTATCCTTTCGTGTCTCTTTGTTTTCGTATCTCTCACGCAAGAAAGTGTCAGTATCCAAAAGATTTTGTATAGATCTCCACGACACTTATTTGCCTATAAAATAGTTTCGCCATGCATAAGACACACTCACTTCTTTCTAAGAAAAAGGATCGCAGGTATGAACAAAGAGAAAGGAAAAATGGACGAAGCAGGAAAAAGGGCTACTCGTCTGAAGCATCACTTACAGGAAGCAAGCAAGCTCCCTAATGCCACCATCATAAGCTTGAAAGAAGAAGGAGAGATGATCAACGTAACCTTCTCAATGCCTAACAAAGAGGTTCTTGACACTCTTGTCGACGAATCTAGGGCCAAAAAGAGGTATCATCTGGAACAAGCCAGACAGGATGCCTATGAGAGAATCATGATGATGAAGAGCTCCAACAAAGACTCTTCGTCGACACCAACCTCTCGATGGTATCCCATTCCTGAAGTTCCTCCACCCAATGTTCAATCCTATGAGGATTTCTCAAGGGTCCACTCTCGGGTCACAGATCAGCCACCCGAACCCACTCTCTCTCTAGAAGAGTTGGATGAATACGCCAAAACAACAAATCTGGCTGATGTGACTGATGAGATGACCCGATTGGAACTTCACGTGCCCTATCGTTTCCTTTAAACCATAGTAGGTTGAGCTTTTTATGTTTAAGTTTCTCTCTCTTTCTATCATGTATGTCATGATGGTTGTGTTATCCAAATAAATGCATTGCATACGTTTCTTATGGTTTCGGATTACAGGAAGGATTACTGATTGAGTGCATTTATTACAAGTTATATCTGGTCAAAAAGAGTACAAAAATTCATTATGAATTTATTGAATGCTAAGCACGTTAGAACTCGAGCCTTACAGAGAATCAAAATTTTAGTCTCAACTGAAATCAGCATTCTCTTGACCACATTAATGAGCATTGATTGCTATGTTGATAAACTCTCTGATAAGCCCTTCAATCCTTGGCTATAAAAAGGGAGAGAATTTCTCACAACTCTCACCATCTCCTCTCTCAATGGCACCTAAGAAAAGGTTCACGAGAAATGACTCTCGCAAGCTCCAAGAGGCCGCTAGGCGCCTCAGGGAGGAGCAAGGTGACTTATACCCAGGCAATAGTCCTAATGTTCCTATCAATCTCATCTCTGATTCAGACTCATCGTTTCAATACGATGATATGGCTGGATTCATCGTTGAATCTGAGAATGAAGAAAAGATCTCAAAAGATCCAAGTGAGACAATCCCAAAAGAATGGATTGACAAGGACTACATGGCCTTTCTGGCACAAGAAAATCTGGAAGAGAAGTATGACAAAGATGATGAAGCTGAGTCCTCTACTGGTTCCAACTTTCCGCGCTATAAAAGATGGTATAGGGAAGTGTTTGGAAGGATGAAGAAAGATAAGCCTGAATGCTCTTCATCCAAGAAGGTTGAGGGGAAGAAAAAATGATTTTCTGAAAATCATCATCTATGTTTCTGTATCTTCTCTTCTCGTTTGTTGAATAAAAGCTTGCCTATCTATGTGCTAATAAGATGTCATGTTTTATCTGTGTACCGAAACTTACTCGCAATTTTTTTCTCAAAAATCCCAAGAAATAATTTCGTTCAAGGATTTGACCACCTTGAACAAAATAGCGAGAAAAATATTTCCTAAAGGAGATATCATGAAATGATCTCATGATTCATCTAAACGAATCTTGAAGACTGATCAGTTACCAATCTTTCGGGTGACAATGTTGATTGTTTCTCTCTCGGGCAACATTTTGTGCGTCTTATGAAATTCTGAACAACATTCGGGTTTTTGAATCGTACTTAAGACGCTATTCCTTTTTGAATCTAAACCGTTCATAAAGTGTTATTGGGATCATACGGCCGAGAAAATCGCCACTATCCCACTAGTCTGACAGGACAAAGACGTGCATTTAATGCACCTCTCAGCACTTGAGTGCTTTTCTCTCTCCTCATTAAATGAGGGAATGATCGTTTCAGATCTGCACACGTTCCTATCACATATCCATGATGATCAGTTACCTCTTGAGGAAAAGGAACCGCTGAGTTCTTTTTCGAAATTCGAATAAGTTTTTTTTTAATGGGCTGATTTAAGGACACCAACCCGGAGCTTTATAAACCCTGCTCAAACCTTCATTCCGTCTGTTCTACAACTCTCAAAATACATCCCTTCCTCTCAAAGCTCTCTATAGTCAAGCTCTCTATCATCAATGGCGGCTCCTTCCGAAAAGAATCCAGAGAACCCTGAACCCTCATCCACTCCAGTAATACCAAGTTTTCCCATGGAAGATTTAGAGTTTATCAAGTCCAGAATTCCATTTATCGTAGGAGGAAGTATGTGGGACGAAGAAGGGTTTCGTAAGTATGTCTTGGATAAAGCCTTTGGAGAACGGATAATCGCTCTTTTGCTAGAAACAGGTTTATATGGTTTGGTAACTCACCACTATGATGAATGGTATCCTCTTGACGTTACTCAGTTTTATTTGAATGCGTATGTGGCTTCTGATTTCTCGAGCATAACTTCAAGAGTTAATAAACATCACATTGTGTTTACTGCTGAGGATATTCGATCAACTTTTGGGTTTCCCAGACGAGATGAGTCCTACAAATCCAACCTGGTATATTATCATCTAGATCCGGAGGATTTCTATGAATCCATACGACACAAGGAGGCCCCTTCCAAAGATGAAATTTTCTAGCCCCTCAAGAAAAAATGGTTCCGGTTGGATCATGAGTTTGCAGTAGACATCTTCAACAAGATTGTGGACCACAAGACTTCTGGCACAGATGATGTCACAAGGGAAAAGCTGAAAATGCTGCACGCCTTCCTTCATGAGCATAAGATTGATTGGTCCAAAATAGTATTCAACAACATCGCCCACACCATCACATACCATCGCAGGAGTCCTGGTGACATTACAAAGAAGATGGGCTTCGGTTTCATTATAAGCCATCTTCTTGCCACAAAAGGAGTGATTCTACGTGCTGGTGCTCCACCTGGTCAAAAGGTCTGTCACATGAAGCAAAAACCATCTGGATATGACAAACAGAAGGCGTTGGAATTGGGCATTCCTCTTGAACCCAATCTACCCAAAGGGAAGTCCAAACGAAAGTTAAAAACCCCTAAAGCAGACGAAGAAGCTCAACCAAAACCAAAACGGCAGAAACAAGAAAAATCCTCTTCTCGGGTTAAGACTCAAAAGACGGTCATCTCCCAACCAAAGACGAAAGGTGATCCTTTTCTCGAAACCTTGATCGTGCAGAACTCCTCTGAAGATGATGATGATCAACTTCTCACTCGTCTAAGCAAACGAAGTCGAATGAGACCTGCTCAAAACCGGGAACCCTTATCAAAAGGAGCAACATCACAGGGGGAAGACATCCCGAAAGTAGCAACCTCTGAGGGGGAACTGAAAACTTCTCTGCCCGAAAGAAGTCCCGTTGCTCACAAATCCATCAATCCGAATGCATCTCCTGTTCCTCATCCACAAGAACCTACCTTAGCAGAGCAACTCCTACGAGAGTTGACACAAGAACCTGCTACTGTAGAAATGGAGGAAAGATGTCAAAATCTTCCACACGAGCCGGGCTCTCCAGAAGACATCCCGAAAGCAGCCTCTGATGCTCCAAATGATGCTCAATCTCTTCCACAAGAACCTACTATTGCAGAGCAGGTAATTCTGACACAAGAACCTGCACTAGTAGACGAAATGACAGCTGCTCAAACATCATTTGTCCCGAAACCATCTGCTCATCAATCTTCTCCAGACCGGTACACCCTCGATAAATCTCTCAGAGAATCGATTGAAAGAGATTACAATCGAGTTCTACAATGGCACAAGTGGCGCACGGCACCTCTCAGAACCTTTCTTGAAACTTTTGAAGCCATGATCGACGAAGAAGAATTCGCACTTCAATGGCTTGAAACTCAGGACGTCACAAAGGCTGTGCGAATTGAGGAGATCCACCGAGTGTACTCTTATAGAATAACTCATCGATCTCTCGGGAAGGACAAAGCTCCCTTGGTAATCCCTCTTCATAAACCTCTCATGGATCCAGCGACTGAAGCCGAATTGAAACAACTTCGCTACATCATGCTGCTATCCAAAATTAAAGCCAAAATGGCAGAAGATCATCCTCGAGATCCCAAAGGCAGTGCTAGTGGAACGAAAGATGTTCATGGCAACGAAATCGAAGAAGAGGATGAAGAAGAAAATGAAGACGAGAACAATGATGATGAAACAGAAGACGACAACAGTGGTACTGATGATACTGATGATGATGATAATGATGATAACAATAATCAACAAGGAGGAGAAGGTGCTGAAGAAGAAGAACCAGAAGATAGCCACACTATCTTGGTCGAAACGGACTATGCTAACTGTCCACAAAGACCACCTCTCTTGAAAATACCATCTGAAGACGAAGACTCGGATGAAGCATCCAGTAAAAATCCAGTTCACTCGTCTCGTGCTATCATTCCGCATCTGAGCAAATCTGTACAACAACAACATAATCTTCCAGCTCATGAGGACAGAAAGGAAGCCTCACCTGAACATGGCCACTCGATGCATGGTGAAAATCCGGAAGCACCACATCATGATGAACACAGTTGTGGAAGAAGAGTGGAGTAGGCAACATTGGCTGAACCACTATAAAATCTCGTGTCCTCTCTATCTCCTTACTTACGCTTTTCCTTTTTGCTCTCATATCATTCCTTTATTATCGTTACCGAAAGTTTGTCCAATTACGCAAACTCGTGCAAAGTATCTAAAACAAATCTATCTTATCCGCTGCGCCAAGACACCGAAAGGTGACGTTTAGGGCTTCTAACGAAAAGAGTCTATTCACCCCCCCCCCCTCTAGACTCTCATCTCTTTCTATCGGGACCAACATTTATTTTCCTCCAATATAAATATTCTGTGTATTATTATTATGATTTAATTTTGTGTCTTCCACCTAGGCGGGTATTTGGCGCACGACTAGCGCCTAGTGTATTGCACAACCTTGGTTCCCACTATAACAGGGCGTTTGGTTGGAGAGGGGGAATTACGTGGGAAAGGAATTGCAATTCCATGGGAGATAAATTACTGGGAATAAAGTGGAAATTTAAATTCCAGTATTTGGTTTACAGGAATGGAATTACTGGGAATTTCAATTCCAATGTTTGGTATACATGGGAATTGAAAGGGAATAAGTAGTATAAAGTAAAAAATGTCCATTATTGTTGTTAGACATTAATTTTAGGTTAAAAAGGGAAGGAGTAATTTTGACTCATCACTATCTTTTTTTCCCAAGAATTAAAATCCCAGGGAGACATGAGATTTTAATTCCATGAAAATGGGAGAATTGCAATTCATTTCAACCAAACAAGAGAATTTTGTGGCCTTTAGAATTAGGTGGGAATTAAATGGGAAGAGAATTTAAATTCCCTTCAACCAAAAGCCCAGTAAGAGTTACCAAACCTGTTGTCCGTTCAAGATTCAAGATGAAAAGGAAATACCATAATCCACCCGTCCAATAACATATAACTCGACCCTGATGAATATGCTCATTTAATCATAGAGTTAAGATTACGTTGGGTCACCTTAATACTATCTTCAATCTCGTTCAAAACCCGCCTTAAAGAAGCTTTTCTTTCAGTATATAATTATATACATTCTTCTAAAGGTTGAACTCCAACCCTAAGGGCACCCCACACCTCGATCCGATAGAGCATTTGGGAGAATGTAAATCATGGTAACTCAACTGAACATGAATCACAGACGACATTTTCTGACTGCGTACAAGGAACCCCTCTCACTTTGAGAGGTTGCTCCCACACTGCCGTTGGTGAGACTCGATCCCTGGTCATTCTTCTAAACTTTCACCTCTATAATTATATACCTGATCAAACTTATTATTGTGTTTCTCCGTTGGTAAAGAGCTCTAATGTGTAATTTTCAAGGTAGACCATTGGCACGAAAGGTACATGGGAATTTACAAGATATGGAGCAAAAGAGTGTTAAGAAATAGAATAATGCCGTAGGTAATGTACGTCAAGTCTGCCAAAGCAATTTCCAGAGTGACGGTGCAGTCTACAAATTTTGGAACGTTTCCGACAGGTAAAAGCAATATCTGGCACACGTGATTCTCCTTTATTTCTTCTCTATAAGTCTTCAAGCCTCCTTGAAAATGTGAACCTTCATAAAGTAGGAAAAGTTAGGTTTTGAAAACAATGTGAGACAAACCTTTAATTTAAAGTCTGGGAAATTTTGTACGTAAAATCTGGTTTTCTTGCAATGATAGACATAAAAGGGAACGAAGATGAAGGTAAAATTGAAAAATTATTCTCTTGCAATCTTTGATTTAGTAAAGTTCAGGATAATAAGAATTTAATTCCATGATATCAAGAAAAGTATAAATTTAATATAAGGGGCGAAATTTTTGTCTCGAGTAATTATGAATTTACCAAATTTATTCAATTACCTAATTTTCTTTTTGGCAAATATAACAACATTCACTACTAAAAAACATGGCTATAGTGACGGACGGGTTCCGTCGCAATTAGTCAAAGTTTCGACGCAAAAGAGAAATTGCAACATACTTTGCGACAAAACGTGATCGTTGCATCAGGTTGAATCGCAATTGCCCAGTTGCGACTGTTTGTCGCAATTAATTATTATCACCGACGATCATATTTTTGTCGCGATATATTTAATTTTGTCGTAATTTGTAATTGAAATAAGTCGCATTAGTTTGTCGCGAGGTGTCGCAAATAATAATTTTGTTCGTCGCAATTATGCTTATTAGTCTGTCGTTTTTATCAATTTTTTTCCGCAATTGATTTTACAATCGTTGCAAATACTTGCTCATATTCGTCGTTGTTTCCAAATTTTTGTCGAAATGTATGTCGCAATTGTTGTTATATGTTTGTCGTTGTAATATGATGCAAATTTTTTAAATATAATTTTGTTTGTCGCAATTATATGTCAATTGTGTCGTAGTTAATATTATAATAATTATATTTTACGTCGTAGTGTTCGTCGCAATGTTTGTCGTAAATCACATCATTCAAACTAGTATAATTTATAATTTTCCTGTCACAAATCTTGTGCATATATACAAAATAAGTATCACCCAATATAAAATAGTAAATTCAATTCATCATAGATATAATTAGTTTAATACAAATAGGCTCCATCGCTCAAAAACAACAAAAAACCACTAATATTATGGGGTTGCTAACTGATATCCTCCTCTAAATTGGAGTTAAGAGCTGTTAGCTAACATCATACTAATATACAAAACATAAATCCCAATGGACAAGCTAATCCAAAAAATATGTTGGGATAGTTTAGCTTGTCAAAGTTGTAACCAAAAAAAGAAGTTGATGTTAGCTTTGTACATACATAATCACAAAATTACAAACAAAAAAAAAAAAAAAAAAAAAAAAAACTAATTACAAGTACTAACCAATTAAAGGGAGAAAAAAAAAGTGTATAGAATTTGATGAGTTTAAGTGTTAATCATCATAAGAATCAGATGACATGAATGTTATTTCATCTTCCTCATTCTCATCTTCATCATCAACCTCTTCATCTTCTTCTTCAACTTCAAGCAAATCTTCTTCCTCAATTTGGATATGTGTTTGCTCTTGAAGCATATCCGATCCACTTCTTCCATATAACCTCCATCAAGAGTACACTCAACATCTAGTCCATCTGATGGAGCAATAGTTGTTGGAATCATTTCATCTTCTTGGTAAACAGATTCATTGTTATCCTCATTTTCATAATCAATGTTTGAAATTCCATCATATCTATTTCTAGCCTTAACTTTATAAACAGCCAACTAGTTACGCCTATTTAGTCGAGTGCATGGATAACAACTCTAATAGACTTGTTGAGCTTTTGCTGGACTAATACAAAAGGTTCATTATATGCAAGTCTTGACTTGTGATTAACCTCAACCAAACCATTATAAGGATGCACCCTAATACCTCTCTCAGTATCAAACCAATGACACACTTGAAAAGAACTATGTTATTACCAACTCCAAAATAGTCCAAAACATAGATATCAAGCAAAACACCATAGTAGTCACGTTCATATTCATTATAGCAACTTCCTTTCACCCAAATTCCACTATTCATTGTTTTTATGTGCTGCCCATATTTTTGTGTATGAAACTTAAATCAATTTACAAAATATCCTTTACAAATGGTGACAATTTGGGATGGACCTCTAGATAGCTCGTATATAGGACTATCCACATCCTTGTTAATTGAGCATACCTAAATATATAAATTAATAAATCATATCAGTAGTAAGTTTGAAGTAATAAAATATAGATCACTTATACTAATTTGTAAATAGTAAAACTTACATATTGTCTAAACCATGAAGCAAATTTCTTTTCACAAATATTTTGTAATTCATCTTCACCTATTGTTGATCTTGCTTGTTGTATCTCATCATCAAATTTCCTAACATTAGTTTAATAGTTCGAGGTGAATTATTTTTAAATTTTTTTTTATCTATATATGTTATAGAGATTAAGTTTGACATACTTACTCAATATATGGTACAACATCTTCACTGTTCATTAAAACATAAATTTCAGCAGCATTATACTCATCATCACTTAGGTATCTACGAATACCTTGCCCTAATGGTCGACCCGGATGAGTAAAAATTGACAAACGATTGTTTGCATCTACATCTCCACCATCATCATTACGAGGAACACGATTCAATTGTGTTTGAACAGTGGCCGCATAGGTATATCTTAGTGGTTTAGTATGCAGTATTTGGGAGAAGAGACCAATGCTTGAAACTCAGTAGCGACAATGTACCTAGTGTCCGCAGAGACATTGAGCCTGATAGAGTATATATATATATATATATATATATATATATATATATATATATATATATATATATATATACTAGTTTTACACGCGAATGAGTGAATGTTCAATATTTATAATTAAATAAGTATTTGAAAGTATATTAATGCAAGATTATATATGAGAAATTCTTAAAGTATATCAATGCAATATTATATATGAGAAGTTTATTGGGATCATAGTATATGAAACTGTAAATTTTTCTTGTTGTGTATATGACTGAGATTTTAGTTGTACTATGAACTCATATTTTGTAAGCGCCTGTTAATATTTTGCACCTGTTATTGTGGAAGTATTAAATAAAATATTAATAGTTATTATATTTGTATAAGGTTCTTCCGCACACCAAATTGAATCCTCGCACGCTCCTCTGGCGTCCGCCTTTCTACGTGCTTCGCGGACATCACCGCTGAGAGCTGCCACGGGACGTTCAGCTTCGCGGAGTATTTGGTTCTGGCGAGGAAGCAGAGAGCGAAAAGGGGAGTGGAGAAAGCGAGAGTGGGTCGAGAGTGAGGGGAAGTCTGAAGGTAGTCGAAGTAGAGAGTGAAAGACGAGCTTCTGGGTTTCTACAAGTCAACTTCTTCACGGGAAGGAGATGATTGGGAGCAAATTTTGTTAGGAACCTTGTATTAGGATTTTGATGATACCAATGTAATGTAGAAAGTAGACCCCTAACTCTTACGTTTCTCTTGTATCGCTACTTTCGTTCTAGACGAAAGTTGCCATAACTCATATGTAATTCGT